CGACATTGGAGTTTCGGATAGTCGTATTACTAGGTGGTATGGGACTGTGGTTCATCATCATTTTTAAAGTCAGTGTATGTGTTGTGTTCTAGATTGAAGGCGGTCCTAAAGGACTAGTGAATCTGGGGTCAACATGTTATATGAATAGTGTAATTCAATGTCTTCAAAGTTGCGATGTCTTGAAAAATTTCACTAGTGGGAAAATGCTGGAAACGTATGTTGCACCCAAAAGTATTTATCAGGGCCTTATCTGTCAGGGCCTGCAAAACATTTTCCAAGTCTTAGACAACACACACAGCAATGAGCCTTTCATGCCGCAGTCATTTTTAGTACGTATTTACTTTGTGAAATGATTGGAATGGCAAATGCTACTATTGCATCCCTCTCTTAAATGTAATTTTTTTTTAAAGGGTGTGGTCAGTGCCTGCTGGTCTGCATTTGAGGCAGGTCGTCAAATGGATGCAACAGAGTTCCTCTCATTCTTACTTTCTGCCCTACATGATGATTTAATTGTAAGTCCAATGCTTGATGTAGTACGTTTACGACATGTTTGCTTAAATTCTCCATTTGTACCTGCAGATAATAAGACCTCATATACAAAATTCTGTCTGGACTGGTGACATAAATACAGATGCTGTTACAGCATGGGAGCACAGTTCTCACTCAGCTATTTCCCACATTTTCAATGTCCAGGTGATTGGACGGAACTGGTGCCTGCAATGTCCATTCAGCAGTGGTCAGTATGATGATATCAGTAATATGATTTCTGTGGAGGTGATAGAGGGAAAGTTCGTTTCACTGGAGGTAAGTCTTCTTTGAAGTGGTGTTGCTGTCATCACTGTAATTGTCATGAGCATTTAATTAAATGTGTGTCGCAGGATTGTCTGCAACATTACTTCAATGAGGAAGACCTAATGGATGCTAAATGTGACAGCTGCTCCTCCAAGGGCCTCAAACATAAACTGATACTGGGACGCCTTCCTCCTGTGTTGATTGTACACCTGAAAAAGTAAATGACTTCTGATACATTTGATGAGTTTTAATTTAGTATGTGCAGCTTTCTGTTTTGTCTCTGTTGTGTTTTGTTGGCCCATTTATTAATTGTATTTGCACAACTCTAGGTTTAAACGGCTCACAAACGGCTCTTTCCAAAAAATTACCAAAACTGTAAATTTTAGTACATGCTAAGACTTGAAACCATTCTGTGTAACGTCTGTCCACAGTTCAAAATATGAACTTAAAAGTGTTGTAAACAACCATGAGAACTCTCTTAGTAGTGGACATTACACCGCCCTAAGCAAGCGAGGAGACCGGTAATTTTTAATTTCATTTGCTCCATCATGGAATGTGATATTTTTTAATTATTTGATTTCAATTTCTCTTAAATTGTATTAAATCAATCCGGCATTTCATGTTGTTCTTCATTGAAACTTTAAGATCATTTTAAAATTTTTAGTATTTATGTTTCAGTGTACAGTGTTAACTTTCTTGCCCCCCCCTTTTCTATTTTTCTCATAGGGGGTTTAATTGGCTGAGCGATCTGAGCTGATTAGAGCGATTAGTGGAAGCCTATTACTCCACTGATGGTCAAAAAGTTTCGCGTCTGTTTGTCTGTCTGTCTGTCTGTGTGTTGGTCTGTGGAAGATATTGAGGCTGAGAGAAGGGAACAAAGTAGAAAAGTGGAAGAGCTAAAAACAACAATAGAACAGAAGGATAAATCGATCAAAACCCTGCAAGCCCGGGTCAGGGAGTGTGAACAATACGCCAGGAACAGGAATATCGAAATCAGCGGTCTTGAACTAGTTGAATTTGAAAATCTGCACGAAATTATGAATAACATTGCTCAAGAAATAAATGTGCCCTATAACCATAATGACATTGACATAATTCACCGAGTCCCAAGCAGGCGCAGAGAAGAGCCCCCAAAAGTAATCGCCCAATTCACAACCAAAAGTACTAGGAACCTCTGGCTCTCAAAAAAGAAACAGGCAACAATCCTAAGTAATGAAGTGACAGGCG